AGAGAGGCTGTACCCCGCATTAAACGCAGGTGTTAATAAATGAAATTTGAATCGTTGTGGAGTAGAAACAGCTCGATTTAGCTACCACCATGATTGCAATGAGAACTTCCATTTATTTGGAAATCCAGAACAATTAAATTCCTGTGGTGCTCTAGGTCTATATGTGTTTCATGAATGTCAAAATATATTAAACACTTTCTTTATATCTTTACATATTTATATTACTTAATCACTCTCGTTCGCTTACAAAATACCAACGTGCTCATATTACTCCATATTCATATGATTACAATACAAATATTTTTAAAAATCCGCGCATTACCACCACTGTTACATGCAGGCCCCGCAGGACGTGTTTCAAAATTGGTGGGGGTGGGGCTAAAGTATTTACCATAAGGTATAGAGCGTAGCGAGCGAAGCGAGTGAAGGGTAAATTGGCGTGTGGTTCAGGGGAGGACCCCTCGAAAGTGCAGGGGTTTTAGGCAATTAACCTTTAATTACGGTCAGATGAGCATATTTTGATACCTTATTTGTCAAACTGGCAATTCACTAATTAGCGTAGCGTCTTTCTATTTTAATATCTTAAACATACTTTTTCAAAAAAGTGAGGGGGTGCCTCGAGCCCAGAAGCCCCTTCTAAATAAGCAAATTTTGGCCTGACTGTAAACTTGGGAATTTGTTCTTTTCCAGCAAACAGATAAAAAAGTATAATTTACAAAACAGTAACACAATAGCCTATCCCGGAAAATCATGTCATTTCAGCAAAATATGTAAATCATTGGTATCGAATTAGAAATAAACCACGTTTGAATTTTATTTGGGGGGGGGGCACGCCCTAACCCCCTCCCCAACCCATCAATACGCCAGTGCGGCCCTCACTTTTCATGTTGTATAGATACAGGCCAGGTCAAAGTGGAAAAGTCTTCATCCCTGGAATAGGATGCTAATGGAGGCCTAATGTGTAGACGAGTTCCAAACCTATAAACGTTATAATGAAAACTTATGGTAACATTAGGGGTGGGGTCAGGGATGGTGGTGGTTGAAACCTTCGATACAGGGCTTGCACATGACATCTCGATCATTCCGTGACGAAAACCCCGAAGGTTATACAATAACAAATTGAATTCTTCCCCCTCCCCCCCCCCCCATTACCCGTCACAGGCAACTCCCAATAAAAATATTAACAACAATGAAGTATGACAAACGCAAGAGACTCAAACTAAGCCTTGGCTAAAGGGCATACTAGCGCATGCACTCTGGCTTTTTTAGGCCTGCTTCATGCTCGTAACTCCATGATGCTACTGTACTGCCATGGATAAATCACGCCCGGGAGCGTGAGCAAAATGTCAATCATAGTTTTGTGTTATGGGGTGAGCGAGCGATCGAGCGTAGCGACCAAGCGCTAATTTGCAATTTCGAATTCTGAAATTATGTATATTCATACGATTGTGCCGGTACTGCACAAGTAAATATATCTCGCATTTATAATTTTGAAATATCAATGTAAATTTATTTATTCCTGTTATATTCTGGCCCGTCTCCTTGGTCCAATGGTCAAGACATTAGCGTTCTAATAGCCAGTGAGCCTTGTCCGATTCCCGGCGGAGTCATTTTTTCCACATTCGCAATCAATTCCGAAAAGGGATGATAGCAACTAAAAGTATCTAAGAAATCAATGTATTTTCCTTGCGTTGGATTTCTGTTTCGTCTTCGATATTCTTTCTTACTTTTAAAATAGTCTTTCAATTTTAAATTTCTGCAAAATTCAAAACCATCTTATTTTATGTCAGCATAAAATAGTCAGCATTAATATACTCTCTTAGAGTAGGTTGGATAGAAACTTTATAATGAAAAAATATGCATCAGTAAAAACAAACGTGACACTTCTGTGGCGTGGGAATGGGGTGTACCCTATTGTTCAGGGAGAAAACAAAATCCTGATCAATGAATTTCCCTTCAAATTATTGACGTTTGCATGTGTCTCTTTCGATTAGAAGCCTTTTCAGTAAGGTGGCAATTTAATTGTTTAGTAATACAAATTAAAAATTCAATAACAACAGATGGAGCGTTCTCTTTGATACAAATATTGTTGTACTCACAATAAATTCTGTTTGTGTGAGAGGCAACCCTCTCACTCCCTTACTGTGCCAGTGGCTGATGTGTATTGAGAAGGTCGTGGCAATTAAACAAAAACATATTTACTAATTTAATATAGCCTTTCATTACTTTCAAAGAGAATATTTTATTAAACTGGAGTGAAATTCAACCTCTGTATAATAATAGGAATGGTTTTGACAACGATTTATTCCTGATAGATCTAGATAACAGTATACATTCTCAGATTTTATTGAATAATGATTTGTCAGTATTTGTTTGTTTTGCGTGACTGCTAAAGCATATGCTTATCAACTAGGGGACATACGTCCCTAAGTCATAACTGACATTAATGAGGATTAATGCCTCACAAAAGGGCACTAATATAGCACATCGACACGGTTTTGATCCTGGGGCCTCACAGTTACGAGGCCATTGTTTTGCCTTTGAATCATGACTGTCCGCAGCGAGGGCTAGGGAAAGTGGCAGCCCCACAAAAATAGAGCCTCTCAGTGTATGGTATATTTGTTTATATTTGTTATTATATACCTCACTTAAGAAATCCAGCCATCTGATTGGTCGAATTGCATTCATAAACTTCAACTGTTCCTGTAAAATTCTCGGTAACCATGCATAAAACATTTCAATAATTTTAATAACCATGGTTATTAAAAAAAGTTGGTCAGCCTCCATGGTTAATTACCCCATAGGTTTACATGTTAAAAAATGGTTTGAGCGATGGAGGATGCCGTATGTGTGCGAAGGATTGGTCGGTAATTTCAATACAATTGAATCTCGATCGATCTTACCGACAATTTTATCTTGCATTGTTGACATGAAGACGAAAATAAACTTCCAAAAACAAAAAAACAACATCTGCCGATAGATCTTCATCTAAGTTCGTGCCAATATGCATTGCAAAAGTAAAAGAAGAGTCCGTATATGGAGCTTTTGCGAAGCATTCATCACACGCGAAGCCGATTTCAATCCATTTTAATGTATATATTGGAGAAAACTGCCAAGCATGTTAACGGCGGGCCATAGCCGAGTGGTCTAAGCGTTGGTTTTCATTACACCTCTTGTTGTACGCAAGAGTTCGAATCCCGTCTTCGACATAGATGATAAATATTTTTAATTTTTCATTTTTTAGTCTATTTTTTTTCGGCATATAAAAGTATTAATGACTGCTTTAATATTCGAGAAATAGTTGTTTTCATACGCTCTCGGGAAGGTTACAATTGGGCTATTCCCCTCGGCAAGCCTCGGGGAATAGCACCATTCTAACCTTCCCTTGAGCGTAATAAAACAACTATTTCTCTCAAAGCAGTCATTAATACTATATTATTATTATTAAAATGTCCACATCTGACAAAATAATTTTTCATAATGCTATTGACAGCACGGATTATGTTCATGCAGATCTTCATCCATCGATCTGAAGAAAGGGATGGGGAGCCAAGGCACATCCGTCATCGTATGGATCGGGGGTGGGGGGGGGGGGCATGGTGATGGGAGGTGCATGCCGTGGTCTTAACACCTTCTTTTCACAGCGTCACGGTGACCACCATATTTCCTTCTGATCTTATCTCAGAATAAGCGACCTAACAAAAAAAAAAATTAAAACAAAATCCGCATTGAGGACCTAGGCATACATGCATGTACATCGCACGCAATATATCATAGATTGCCAGCGAGACCCCCCCCCCCCCACCTTCGGAATCGTATAGGGCCGGTGCTATATATCTCTCAGGAAAGTACATGTACGCTCCTTTACCGTGTGCGTAGGCAATTTAAGGGTTTTCGAGGGTAGATTTTCCAAATACGAACTATTCATCTGTGTACCTATAAGAGCACACAACACCAAGTATTACAAATTTCGTAAAATCTGAACGAAAAAAATATGATTCGTGATCTGCCTTCAGACATGATGCAGATAAACATACTTAATATGGGGCCTAGGCTTGAACAACTCTAAAACTCAGTAGGCAACATTATGTATTCATTTAAAGCTGACGAAAATTCAAAAACAGTATAGTATAAACATGTACATATATGCACACTGGAATATATTAATAAAAACAAAATATCATGATTGTACAGAGGAAATCATATTGCTCTGGTTTTGCAGAATCATTAGCTGCGGCTGAAATGTTATTTTTGTTAAGAATCGTATAATAACCCGACATATTTCCCATGTGTATTCATATCTACATAACATGCAAAAATAATAGTTCATGACACATTTGTTATTCCAATCACAACAACGTATCAAAATCGTCACGCTTTTGCCCCCAGGACAAACAAACAGTGAGAAGATACAGTCAAATGATCACGAGTTTTCTAATGCAACAAACATTACTTCCGGGTTCTCGATCAAGAACATGAAACTCTTATGGTCTGGTTTCAAAGCTCTGTTTCGTTTAGTTGCATTTTTGCACCCTGTTTCTTCGTTGTTTACGAAGCCGACATTATTTCTTAAACACCCGTCATTCCCATCTTGGTCTTAGCTCAATCGCTCTCCATTAATCACCTCAAAGACATATAAACCAATATAATAAATAATAAATAATAATAATAATAGCCTAATAGTCCACTCCAAATTTTATTAAACCGAAACGGAAATTCAAGTATTTCAGTCTAAGGACATAGATGACTTTATATCCAGATACAAACAAAGTCTCAATAGTGACTGGGAGTTGTTCTTATTTGTCTATTGTTCTATATAATACTTTCTTGGGAAAGTCGATTATTGAAGTATCATATTTTGAAAGCGTTATATTTTATAGGGAAAAGACCAGAGAAAAATGATAAGCACTTCTCTTTGATACGATCAGATGAAACAAAGCTCCACTAGTTAATCATTATGTTTTTTTTCTTTTGTCTCGTTTTCCGGTAGAATTCGAATCATGGCTGAAGCATTAAAGAATGTTATTGGTCAGAGTCTGGAGTGTCCTGTATGTCTGAATACTTTCACCGATCCCAAGATCCTGTCTTGTTCTCACACCTACTGCAAGGCCTGCCTAGACAACCTCTTGGAATGCCATGATAACGTACAGATGCTCCGATGCCCTGTCTGCAGAGCTGAAACCCAGGTCCCTAACCGAGATGTCAGCAAATTACCGGCAAGTCTAGCTTTGAAGTCTCTCATAGAGGACATGAAGAATCAACAACAGTTTTGCACGAATTGTAAATCCGAGAACAAACCCCAAGCTGTTGTCTACTGCCAAGACTGTGGCATGTATCTCTGTATCACTTGCCACAACGCACACTCTCTGTGGCAAAACTTCATAGGGCATGAGGTCTTAGCCATGAGTGAGATCGAATCAGGGAAGGTGTCAGTACGTTGGTACCGTAAATGCAGGAAACACCCCAAAGAGGATGAGGAGTGCTTCTGTTCCGACTGCAGGAGATTTGCCTGCTTCAGGTGTGTTGTCATGGAGCATACAAACGAAGGACATCGGGTCATCGAGGCAGCTGTTTATGAAAGCAGCCACATGAAGAGTATCGAGGACCTCAAATCCAAGGCGGACAATAAACGCTCTTGCTTTCAGAAATACGTTGACTTCATTGATGAACAGAGAGACCATGTGATCAATGTTCAGAAGCAGTGTACAGATGATATCAAAAAAGCATTTGAAGAATCAGTCCTGCAGTTGACAAAGAAGAAAGAAATCCTCATTGGTGAAGTCAAGGGTAGGACCGAAGAAGTAAAGAAAGAACTGAACGAAATGAAGAAAGCAGCCGTGGAGCACATCACTCACTTGACCACCATAGCTAACGTGGTAACCAATAGGACAAAGGTACCATCAGATATGGATGCTTTGGCTGCACACGACACTCTATGTCAAGACTTACATGAGGCCTTGACACAAGAAGATCCTGACTACAAGCAGCCGATGAAATCGAGCAAAAAAGGAAAAAATGTATTTTTTCAGAGGAACGTTGGAATGGATGATATATCTCTCGGTCAGATCGTAAATGCAGTTGCAAAGAACATCGCTTTGCCTAATGAGGGTAGGATGTATGCCATGGTTAGTACACCAGACGGTAGGATGGCAGTGGGATGTAGTACAGGTGGCGTGGAGATCTTCTCTGCTGATGGCCAGCTCCAGCAGACAATTCTCAAACATGTGGAGATTTATGGAGTAGGGTTCCTCTCTGATGATCGGTGTGTTATACTTGATAGCTCTAGCATTATCACACTGTACACACCAGAGTACACACAATTGAACGTAATGTTTGAGTGTCCTAGTGACGATGAATGTGAGTGTGCTCACCTCACAGTAAACAGTGATAATCTGATCTATGTTAGCTACTGGAATGCACAGAAGATCCATGTATTCTCACCAGCAGGTGGGAAGGCGATCAGGGAGATACCATGTGATGGATATGAACCTCAGCAGATTACTAGTTATAACGATCACCTGATCACCGTATCTGATGATACAATACGATTGATTGACAAACAAGGGGTTGTAAAATATGAATTAGAGAAATTAGATGAGGATCTATATCCTGCGGCGTCTCAAGGGAATACAATCCTGATAGCCACGTTGAAACACGATGGAGGTTTGGTCAGCATTGATGAGTACACTAACGAGCTAAAGCATGTCCAGAACCTAGTCAATGATTACCAGATTGAAACATCCGGCATGGCATATTGGCACCAGCTCCAGCAGTACCGATCAGGAGAGATCGCTCTCTGCACTCCTTGTAGACTCTATATATTCCACTGGAACAAATGACCTCCCCCCTTACTTGCCATGTATGACAGGCCTCGCAGAACGTTTGTCAAAGTAGGGTGGGGGGGGGGGGGGCTAAAGTGTTTACGATCAGGTAGAGCAAATAGACAATTGGTGTGGAGCCAAGGGACAAAGCTCAGGGATTTAAGGCATTTAATTACGGTCAGATGATCATATTTGAAAACCTTATTTGTGACTCTGGCAGGTTTCTACATTTTTGTTTAAAGCTTATCTGCCATAGTTTACAGGAGGGATTACACCGCCCTGCAAGGTCACTGGACAGGTGGTTATCTCATCAACTCAGCTCTCAGTTAACGTAAGAAAAAGAGGATCATGGGGAACCAATGGTCACCGATTAGGCATTGTTTGTTATATAGAGGGCGCAAGTTGCTACAAGTAGTGCAGTGGTCCTTTAATGACGTAAATCATGGTCCGAAGCAATATTCCATTCAAATGAGACACTTGCTAAAGATTATAAGATTTTATAATTACCCTTTTTTAATTAGTTTCTTTACGTGAAAAATAAAGTTATGTTCATAATATAAAACAAGCGAGTAACGTTTCATCTCTTCCTCTCACATATTTCTAAAGTTTGTGGCATATTTGTTGTACAGCAATATGTCGTCGTTCTTTTCACGAACGTTTGGACACACTGGCCCCCCAAATTGGAATTCTCTTCCCAGAGATATACGACATTCTACTTTCTTTAACTCTTTTACATCAAATATTGAAAAATACTTCATCTGTTTTTAAATCAATTATACTATATGAATGTTAATTTATACTATGTTGTGCACACTGTTCTTTTAAATTGTTATATCTTTTATAGATAATTGTTGTAACCTGCATGTATCTTTTATTTAATTACAATTAAGACATCTACCTTCATTTTATAAAGAGGTTTTATATGCATATTTTGAGTTTAGAGAACTGTGTAACAATAATCGACTTTGCCAAGATAGTACTATATGGAACAATTGACAAATAAGAATAGCTGATAACAGTTGTTTTGTAAAAGAACTATTTGATATTTGTATATTGTATATAAAAGAGATTTGTTTGATGAAAATGGTAAATTAATTGTTTTTGCCAAGTGGCAACAGATTGGCGCTCAGTCGTTTCTGTCATTCCACATAGGTTGAAAGCTCAATGTATTGAAAGTAGGCATTTATCAAAACAGCTGGATACTTGTACTATATTTCGTAATAGACAACTTTTTATATCAAAATTGTCAACAAAGATGATTAATATGGTACTAAAAGAAAACAAATATCAAAAGCCTACTTCAGAAACCTACTGGAGATCAAAATATGACATAAATGAAGAACATTTTGATTTTATATATGAATTACCTTCTAGAATTATACCTGATACAAGAACTAGATTATTCCAATATAAAATAAACTCACGATGCTTACTGGTAAAGGCAAAGCTTTAAAAACAGAAAGTGATAGACAATGAAATGTGTTCTTTTTGTAAACAAGAGCCAGAAACGAATGAGCCCATGTTTGTAGAATGTTTATATCCACCATATTACTTGAACGAATTTTTAAAATGGTGGCATACTAGAATTAATAAAGAAATGTTACAATTGACAGACGAGGAGATCTTGTTTGGGATATTAGACAAACCGCATGCTCTATTGAATCATTGTATTATTATTGCAAAGAAAACATTATATTTATGTAGATATCTTGAGATACTCCCTTCTTTCAATTTATTTCTTATTAAATTAAACCAAACGTACCTTACAGAAAAATATATTTGTTATAAGGATAGATTCATGCATAGATTTCGCAAAAAAAGGAATGTGCTAGAATTATGATGATGTAGTAACCCGTTTTTTGTTTTTTTAATGTTGTGTTTGTCTTTTTGTCTTTGTTTTTTATCCATAATTTTCGGATTCTACTCATACTATTTTTGTCATCATTTTGTATTATGATAATCATATATTTGAAATACATGTGTTTCATTTCAATTTGTATTATGTATGAGAAGTTTAGACCGAATAAAAAAATAAAACAAAAAGTAAAGAAAAACAAAAGTATCTTTTACAGAGACTGCCTCTACAGGTTTTATTTGCAGTTTCCCCAATTTATTTATATTGATTGGATTTGTATAATTATGTCTGGTATATTTGTAGACATGTTTCCATTTTGCGTGTGTTCTATGTTTTCTATATTGTATATGATCTGTATTTTATACTTTCATAAAATGTGTTTTCTATGTATTTGAATTGAAGTAAAACTTAAAACTTGAAACTTAAACCGACCGGAGAGGCCAAAAATAACGATTTTTAGATAAAATATGTAGTTAAAGACATATTTTGACTATACTTACGTATATCTACAACCCCACAATTACATTCAAATCTTTATTCAACCAATAAAATACATTTTACAATGACACTTATACAAGAATGGTTAGGAGCCCTTAGAAGCAGAATTCTACTTGTACTGCTTGCACGAAGACCAGCATAGAAGTATATAGTAAGTCTAGTCGAATATATAGATTTACATATGCATCATATAGATCACTGGTTTGAAACAAAATGACACTGTTGTCAAGATACCGATATGTTTATAAAACGATTTTTTTTTTTTTAATATCAGAAAATACCATAATGATCATAAAAACTTTCGTGAAATTCTTATTTCTAACATTGGTTTTGAAACCTCAAAGATAAGTGCTTCTTCAAATGCATAGTTTTATATAAAGAGCTTTCTTATTATAAGTGCCTCGATCAAACAGACAAGCCGACTCCAAATTAACCCCGGACTGACCTTTTATTAACAACCATTCTAGGTTAGTATGAAGTGGGTCCCACATGTGTGACTGGGGGAATACCCGAAACTAAGACAAATAAGACTATTAATCAAACTTATGTCTATATGCAGCAACCTTGGTAATGCTTAAGCTATTAGAACGAAATAAAGGAAATAAATGGACTTCTTGGTTGAGTTACTTCGTGATCTCCATTAATCTAACCAAATTAACAAACGGTCAATCAAATGCCGGGATCAAATGCCAGGTTTATTACCGCAACCAAAGACGGGTCAGTCATGAGAGACGGGGTTAGAGTATATAAGGAAGGATGGGTTGGGCTTGGAAGAACAAGAGCTAAGGCGATCAACGAGCATCAATCAACTTTACTCACCAAGCCAGCCAATTTCACAAAATCGTAAGTACGTATTGCTGCACCTTACAAAATTTTGCTGTCTCTCAATGTTAGAAAATGATTATTGCTGATATAAATCGTAACTTCATAATTTTCTATAATTTATTTCATTTCTGTGAAGTATATAGCTGCTTTATTGCAACAGTTATAATGATAATATTTTTGAAGAGCTTTTTTCAAGATCTAAAAATACAACATACAAACTTACATTGATGATGTTATCGTTTTATAATTTTGTATCCAACTTGTGACCCCGGCCCCCCACTCAGTGTTATTTAGGGTACGCATATGCGTGTTCCCTCCTTTTGAAAACACCCCCTAAGTCCGGTGTGTAAAGTCAATTTTGGGTATGTACGAGCCGGACTTTGGTGCGTGAAAAGTACCCCTTTACAGGACATTTTGGTAACACGCTTGCGGTCATTCCGACCCCGGAGTGGGGGGGGGGGGGGGGGGGGCTTGTGACATTACGATGCGTCTGCTCTTCTCCATTTTAAATGTTTAATAATTTTTATTTGATCAATATTATAACATCAAACTGGACTGTCCCCTTTTCATTCTTGCCTAATTAAAAACTTAATCCCATCCCTGCCCTTCTTATCTTCAATGATAGCATTACTTCAATTATAAAACTAGTGTGTTCTTTAAGAAAGTTGACACACCCATCCCAATTCTATGTTTTAAAAGGTTGTAAAATTAATACGTTTTTTGATAAGAGATTCAGTTGGTGCTTATATACACTAGCAGTATCATGCATACCTTAATCATCTAGTGTCGTCCCTTCGGAAGGGCTTGGTGGCTATGCACCTCCATCGCTTTCCGTCATGTACTCTTGTTTTAACCTCTCCGTAGCATACCTTATCATCTTCCTTTGGACTTATAATACCCATATTAAACACTTGTATTTGTTTTAATTTAATTTTTTATTAAAAAAAAAAGAAACCCACCCACATGTCAAAGATAACCCTTTTATGCTATGATCTAGTGCTTTAGCGGTCGTTTTCCAGCTCTCTAAAATCAAACCTAGTTCGAGTATCCATCAAGATATATTGTTTTCATTTCTTGTCAGGCAATGGTTTCCAAGATCCTGATCGTTTTCATGGCCATGCTGGTGGTCGCCATGGCCTTCGAGTTCCAAGAGACCGACGAGGATTTCGATGTCGCGGAATTCATGAAGAGGGACCCCGTCATGCAAGACTACCAGCTAGCTGTCAAGAGGGGACAGTCCATGAAGAAATACAAGCGTGAGTTATACATTGTAAAATATTGATTAAAAAAAAGCTGCGTAATTTGTGTATGAAATGTTACTTATTATATTCCTTCTACTGTACTTACCATCTAAAATGCAAAACAACCTGAGAAATTCTCAAACCACAAAGATATGTATGGTTTTCTTTGAAGGCATCACTGTGCAACATTCTCCAACAGTGATTAACAGTAAATTCTCCCAACCATTTTTGAATTTTCCCAACCGTTTGTCCTGAAATATGAGACATAAGACAGGCTTCAAACATCTTTCGACACTTAAATGTATGGAATGGTATAACGAGTCAATTCCTTGCTTTGTGACGGTTTACATTCACCTATTAAATTGTGATAACATATAGTTGGGAGAATTATGGAATCGATCTGATCAGTTTTTCCCAATTGTTATCGTTCATGATGGTCCGTTTTCACTTTCAGATTATCTTCAATTGTACATCCAGTATTGAAGTCACTACCTTAAGTACCTTAGCACCATTTTCTCTCATCTGAACTATGTTACCAAGTCCCTTTAATTAGCAGGGTTGAATCCAATGATCGAAAACCACCCAATTACTTAGTTGGTTTTAATACAAGCGGGAAAATTAGACAAACTGGTCGGTGATAGATTGCTGTAATCAATCGGACACAAACTATCAACTCTGTAACGGATCGTGTGAGGGAATTCTAATTCATAAACTTCCATTTTCTTTGTTTATAAAGGATTAGGCTTATATTCCTTTCATAAAGAGTTTGTATAGTAGGGCCTAACGTTATGTGCAATTATAATATATAAAGACAGGTATGATTTAGATAAATGCATCTCATATAATCTCTGAAGTAAAAAAAAGAAAAGAAAAAGCAAAGAGAAAAATAAAAGTTACCACATTACTCGATTCTGTGAGGCAAGAATCAAAACAGCACACAAACATACTAATTCATAATACAACAATAAAAACAAAATTGGAAAGGGGGGCAATTTATTGTTAATATCTTTCCAGCCATTCGAGTAAAGAAAGGGGTGATGGGACATTATCAAGAGGCACATGTCTTAGCAAGAAAGAAAGTACAAACAAACAAACAACGAGGCAAACACCACGGGACAAAGCAAAAACAAGAACTAATTTAGGAAATATAAAAAATAAAAGAAACTTTCTCACAATTTTCAGAAACGTTTAGCCTATATGTGTTCAAAATCTCTCTTGCAAAACAACGAATAAACTGACAATTTTGCTGATATTAATCGCCCCTTGCCCCGCCCGCGGTGCCTCCTTTATATCCATACATTCCTTATTCGTGCGTTCATCCCCAATGTATAATTCACAGTTATTAATCTCATTTCCCCTATCATTTTCAGCATGTGTTTCTCTACCGAACTGTTGGTGCAATAGACGAGGAGGAAAGGTCGCTTTCTGCCCAGGTAAGTCACTGTCAGATATATTGGCTCCAATTTAAGAAGTAGATATATATTTTAACCATTGTCAAAATTCTAAACCAGAACAATTTGCTCCCAGTGGCGTAAGGGCATTTATATCAAGGGGAGGGGGGGGGGGGCAACATTGTTATGAGGTTGTACAACACATGCTCCGCTATGTTTGAATGTAAGACTTCTTCGGAGTAATTTTAAATTCATGAATAAATTTTGGCTTGCATCCAATAAATAAAGATCGAGCACTCGATCTTGTAATTAAAGACAAGTCAGAAAAAGTCTCGGAACCAGTGGGATTTGAACCTGGCAACGGAGGGGGTCATATAATTCTAGCTGGCCGCAGCAATGGTCTCTCTTCTGCACATAAATCAAATAATTCGAAACCTTGTTCCAACCCTTTCCAAAATTCTTTCAGCTGTATGTTTTACACATGATCTAAGGTAAATTTTATTTTGCGGCGATCATGCATCACTCTTTGTTTGTTTATTTTTTATTTTTTTAATTTTTTTTTCTCCACCCCTCTCTTTCGTTCTCTTTTCATTCCTTCCTCCCGTTCTCTCTTGCTTGCTTTCTCTTCGTGATTATTGTTGTTGAGGGGTTTAATTGGTCATATCTTGTTCGTCGCATCTTACATGTCACATTGATGTCTGTTTTTCTATAGGCCAAGGAAACGGTAATGGAATCTAGACTAACCCGCTGAATCTCACTGCCAACAAACCCGCCCATCGACTGTTTAGGGATGCACAAATACGACACGAGAGAAGACTAGAAGCTGATTTGACCAATTACTGCGCAGTATTAAATGTGACGTCACATCATGTCATCAGTGGTTCTATCTGGATCTAAGAATATTGGATAGCTTGAAATAAATGGATGTATGTAGAATTATGCAATGATTTGATGTGTGTTCTGAGTATTGTTGTAAGAAGTATCTGCATGCATCACTATCGGGACGTTACAATAGCCGAGTATCAGAGAGAGAGAGAGAGAAAGAAAGAGGGGAGACAAAAGAAAGAAAGAAAGAAAGAGAAAAATAAAAAATACAGTTTTGAGGAATGCGAAGAGGAAATATTATAGTGATGTATTTGAAATGTATAAAGGTGACACAGCGCAAACATGGAAGTCAATAAATAAGCTATTGAAGAGTGGAAACAGTAAAGTAAAAACGTCACATGTAGATAAGCTCTGTGTTGATGATAATGGTAGTAAGAAAGTTGTAACCTCAGGGAAAGTAATATCAGAAGGCTTTAATGAATTTTTTGTGAACGTTGGGCCTAACCTTGCTAAATCTATTAATGGTAATGTTGACGATGTTATTACATTCAAAGGTTATCTTAGTGATGGAATAATTGACTCCATGTTTTGGGAACCAGTTACTCATTATGAGGTACGGGACTATTTATTAACTTTAAATGTAAAGAAAGCTTGCGGCTTTGATGATATTCCAGCCCGATTACTGAAGGATGCTGCTGAAGTAATTGCAAAACCACTATCTTATATTTATAATCAATCATTATTGAACGGTGTGTTCCCAGATGCAATGAAAGTAGCCAAAGTTACACCAATTTTTAAAAAGGGAGATAGAAATGTCCCAGGCAATTACAGACCTATTTCAGTTTTGCCTCTATTGGCCAAAATATTTGAGAAATTAGTAAACAAGAGGCTACTTGATTATTTTGAAAGAAATGATGTCTTGTATAAGCACCAGTATGGCTTTCGTAAACATTATAGTACTAAGTTGTCTTTAATTAATTTGGTTAATGATGTGCTTAAATCACTGGATAAGGGCAGTGTAACACTAGGTGTATTCCTAGATTTCCAGAAAGCTTTTGATACAATTGATCATGCAATATTGGCTGGAAAATTAGAACATTATGGAATAAGGGGCCTGCCTCTCCAGTGGTTTAAAGATTATCTTTGTAATAGATTTCAGTTTGTGAACTATGGTGGACATAGCTCATTGAAGCGGATAATAACATGTGGTGTTCCTCAGGGTTCTGTGTTGGGACCTACACTGTTTTGTTGTACATAAACGATTTACCAAACTCAACAAATTATTTTAATTTTAGACTTTTTGCCGATGATTCTAACTTGTTTCATACGTTTCCACCGAGACAGAATTCAATTGATATGGATAATATAGTTAATATGCATCTTGATAAGGTGACCATATGGTGTAAGGTAAATAAACTTACAGTCAATTTATTAAAGACTAATTATTTGTTAATAAGAGGGAGTAGGCAATCAGTAGTGACTCAAGGGGTGCTAAAAATAGCAGAGACTGAAATAGCCCAGGTTGATGTTGCATCATTTGTAGGAATTTATATAGATCAACACTTGACGTGGAAACCTCATATCCAAAGGGTTAATAAGTTTATCAGGAAAAGGGTTGGTGTTTTATATAGATTAAGACAGTTTGTGCCAAGGCGTGTTTTGTTGTTACTGTATAAGACGTTAATCCAACCGCATATGACCTACGGAATTGAGGTTTGGGGAAGTAATTATGAAATGAACATGAAGTGTTTATTATTAAGCCAAAAGATGGCACTAAGAGTTATAACGTTTAGTCCAATTAGGACTCATTCACAACCGATATTCCAGGAGCTAAAATTATTGAATGTGTATCAACTCCATAAATTATCTGTTTGTGTTTTTTATGTATCAATTATTGAATGATAAATTGCCACAGTCTCTAATTCAGTATTGCTGTTTCATAGAGCACAACTATGAGACTAGACAAAGAGAAAGTAAGAAGTTAAGTGTGCCTAAAGTAAGGACAACGCAAGGTAAATTTTCAATGTCATTCAGAGGCACACGCTATTGGAATGATCTACCCCTTTCTGTAAGGGAGAAAGCATCAGTGTCTTGCTTTCGTAGAACTCTTATATCACAAATGTTAATAGAATAGTTGTTTATAACTTAGAACCAAGGCTCTTGCCTTTTTGTAAATATTTGTTATATAATTCTTCATCTTTTATTTAGTGTAAAATACCAAAGCTTTGTATATAAGCACAGAACACATTTACCCTAGATGTAGAATAGTTTGTAGCTTAGGTATGAATTCACTAGTTATTCATATTTATTCATTACATTCTCATTTATTGCTGTGATACTTTTTGTGTGTTAGTGGTACTAGACACGATTAGCATTAAATGCTATTTTCTGGTCCCATTTATCCTTTCAATGTTAATTAATCATTCACATTTGATTGTTATATTGATGTACTTTTTTGTTTTGGATAATAAACTTCAAACTCAAACTCAACTCAAACTCAAACTCAACTCAAAAAAGGGGGGATATTTAGATAGCCTACATTGATAATTATAAGTGATTGAGGTGAAAGTGTATTTGAGTTTTTTAAAATAGCACAACTTTATGAGCAAAAAGTCCCAAACTTTCTAAAATCATCGTTAAACTAGCGTAGTAACAGACCGACGGTGGATATAGGGAGAGGGCAAGTGACAACCACCCATCTCCCACACAAAAAGGAGGAAAACATAAGAAAAGGAAAACCATGTGCTAATGACTTGTATATTCTTCTTCTTTGTTTTGGAGAATTTCGGAAAGCGTAAAAAGGTATACATAAAACCTAGTCAGATTTACTTTTGAGACTTAATCGTGCCAGTGAAGTACTACAAATGCATCGTAACAACAATACTACATTTTGACAGTTTCCAACGTTGGGTCTGTAGGTAGATGAGGATTATGTCTTTCTCTCTCCATCTCCCCCTTTCCCCGTCTCTTTTCTCTCGCCCCACCCTCTATCTGTCTCCCGTCTCTTTTCTCTCTTCTCTCGCCCCACCCTCTCTCTGTCTCCACTCCTCTTCTCTCGCCCCACCCTCTCTCTGTCTCCACTTCTCTCGCCCCACCCTCTCTCTGTCTCCACTCCCCTTCTCTCGCCCCACCCTCTCTCTGTCTCCACGCCCCTTCTCTCGCCCCACCCTCTCTCCGTCTCCCCGTCTCTTTTCTCTCTTCTCTCGCCCCACCCTCTCTCTGTCTCCACTCCTCTTCTCTCGCCCCACCCTCTCTCTGTCTCCACTCACCTTCTCTCGCCCCACCCTCTCTCTGTCTCCACTCCCCTTCTCTCGCCCCACCCTCTCTCTGTCTCCACGCCCCTTCTCTCGCCCCACCCTCTCTCCGTCTCCCCGTCTCTTTTCTCTCTTCTCTCGCCCCACCCCCTCTCTCTCTCTCTCTCTCTCTCCCTGTCTCTTTTCTCTCTTCTCTCGCCCCACCCTCTCTCTGTCTCCACTCCCCTTCTCTCGCCCCACCCTCTCTCTCTCTCTCTCTCTCTCTGTCTCGCTCTCTCTCTCTCTCTCCCCGTCTCTTTTCTTTCTTCTCTCGCCCCACCCTCTCTCTCTCTCTCCCTGTCTCTTTTCTCTCTTCTCTCGCCCCCACCCTCTCTCTGTCTCCACTACTCTTCTCTCGCTAGTCTGCAAGCACAAACCCTGGTCAGTAGTAAAAGAGAGTCTGCATTATAAGACTACCCTAGGCCATGTAGTGTAGCTGCTCCTGACACAGTAGGTAGCTGGGTTAGACTTCTCTCAAGGCACATTGATTTGTTGATAGTGTCAAATTAGGGTCTGTGCCTGCAGACTATTCTCTCGCCCCCACCCTCTCTCTGTCTTTATTCCCATTCTCTCTCTCTCTCTCTCTCTCTCTCTCTCCACCTCCTTCTTTCCCCTCTATAGCTTCTCTCCTCACTAATACCCCAGTCACACCAGCACACTGCCAGAGCAGAACAATTAATGTACCCTGATTGGAGGAGTACTGGTCGGTTTGGATTCGGTGTGACTGAGGTATCAGGCTAATATTTACTCTCTCTTGCAGTCTTGCACACATTCATACATTTATCAACAATCCATAAGTATTTACTTCCTCTGTTCAGATATCATTATTTATTTATTTATTTATTTTTCTTTTCTATGAATGATAACGTCTACACTACATGCCTGTCGAAACCACTTGTTGTATTATTTCTGAAATACAAAGGTATATTAATTATCCAACATATTACCGATGTCAATGACCTCTTTTGAGTACAGTAATGATCTACTTCATATTAAAGGGCAATCCTTCCTTTTTAATAAATTCAATCGTATGAAAACAGAAATAAGATAACAGAACGGTGAACATTTGAATTAATTGGACCAATTATAAGAAAGTTGTAAATGCTTGAAAAATGAGATCACTATAGCTATGGGGATCTCAAAGTAGCAATTTGGTTAGTGGATTGTGACATAGTCATAGACAACTCTCACGTTTGTTATGTACAAAATCATAATTAATTTCTGTTTTACCCCCAAGTGCCTTCTCCCTTGGGGCAATAGTCCTTATATATTACGGTGAGCATAGTATTACAGATCATCTAAAAGAAAAAGACCCTCCTGAGTCATACATTTTTTAAACATTTATAATTTAGTAAATCTGCACGTTGGAACAGGTGAAGAAAGGTGATGACTTGAGGAGTGTGGGTCTAGGCTTCAAATGGACGCCTGCATAAGTCCCACACTATGTCTTTCATGTTATTAAGATCAAACGCCGTCTGGTTACAGTTACATGCTGGTTACAATGAACATGATCTCTCTATTGCTCCCACCATTATCTACCAGTCCCATGCACTGCATTTCATGTCATGAGTGTAAAATCGGACTACAATTCTTTCAGCTACGTGTATCTTGCATCGTGTATCGTGTATCTAGGTTTGAAGAGCAAGATCTATCCAACACTCCTCTATTAATTTCTTGATCCTATTCACTGTCTTTTATATCAAGGACCTTGTCTCAGTTCAACTGCTGAGCTAACTTTGTCTGTTATGCGATTAAAAGAGAACCTACTAATACATTTTTCAGTCCCACACGCTGTTTCTGGCGTGATGAGTGTCACATCAGTCCTTCAGCTCATGGTCTGTTAGGCTTCAATCATATCTTAGTCCCATTCACTGTCTTTCACGTCATGAGAATGTACAAATGCTCAGCTACCCTGGTTTGAAGTTTGTGAAGCTGTGAGGTTATGAAGTGCAAGATCCGTCCATCGCTCTTCTGCTTTCTTCCCTCCTTCTTCCTTCCCTCCATCCATATCATTTGGAAGCTGGTTTGGAGGTATCTCGATGTCATCGTTAGGAAGCTTGTCCATCCTCCATTGGTCATCGATGATGTCCAGCAAACGACCTTCTCGCATCACCTCCGAATCCATCCTCACGTAATGATGTTCCTGTATCAAAAAAAATGATGAGACAAGAAAATAATGATCTGCCTTGATAAAGATTAAAGAAATTAAAACCCATTTGTTGCCAGAACTCAAAAGTCAGAAGTTCTGGTCATGCGACTGCATTGTGAAGGAAACGGTGTGGAATCGACCAGAAAAGGTTGATCATCAGTATATAAGAATTTGTGTGTATTGCAAGGTTCTGGAATCATCAAAATGATAAGAAATTTGGCCAAGTCTTGGTAAAGTTACGAACACTGTACACAGAAAGATGTATATGAGACTACACGAACCAAGGCGTAAAAATCCTACCCTGGATTTTTACGATGTTACATGACATATTGAGAATATGAAGGCATTTGAAGAGCCATGCTTTTTAAGGAACATGTCTTATCTGATGTTCTTCAACACTTGCATAATAAGACGCAGGATATGTTAAGTGGAAAACACTCCGTCCCTCAGGTAGGACGTTAAATGGAGGCCCCGTGTAGAGAAGAGTCACTACCTTTGCACGATAAGAACCCACTGCACTATTCGTATAAGAGTAGGGGGAAACCCCTGTGTAGTGGTCCACCTGCACACACCCCCAGTATAGTACGATAATACTCTGTAAAGAGGTCTGCACTCAAAAAGAAAGAAGGGGAAGAAGAAGAATGATAACGCTCACAAATTATTTTTCACCTCTTCCCAGAACTCAACCTTAATTCTCCTAAAAACCTTTCAGTTTAGCAGGTAGGTCTATTAGATCAGGATGTCCAATAAATTTGACATCTTTAAGTTTAACATTATAGTCTAGTAATGATTAGAACAACGAGGTTTACGGTTAGACTTAATGCATTGTAGAATTGGTGTACACAGAAGCAAAGAAGAAAAAGACAAGTACAAGCTTATTTGGAGATACCAATTACAGTTACGAACACAAAAATTAGTATGTGGGGCTGATGATAAGTCAGGTTATCTAGAGTCTACCATTTCTCAAAATTGGGAGGGGAATATTTGTTTATTAAATTCAGATTCGCTCACCTTGATTCTGTCTCTTTACTAGGTTAGTTATCTGTGATAGTATTTACAACACGCTTCTTCTAATAATCTATTTATAGAGCAAACAACGTCAAGAAAACTGAAAACGAAAGATCAAGCTTGACGTCTATGGTACTTTTGGGAGACAAACACCAAAACAAAAACTAATTGAGCGGGTGACGAACAAATATCACCAGCCATAGAAAATATAAACTAAAGAAATATTAATTACACGACCCACGGAACGTTTTTCAAAGTGGGGTGGCTAAAGTATTTACGATTAGGTAGAGCGGAGAGTAGATTGGCGTGGGGTCCAGGGGCAAAGCTCAGGGGTTTTAGGCATTTAATTACGGCATGGGCGTAAATCCTTACGTACCTATTGTTCAGGGGGGGGGGGGGGGGGGGATGAATGAATAGATCACCCCCCCCCTGAACAATAGGTATTACGCAAGGATTTACGCCCATGAATTACGGTCAGATGAGCATATTTGGATACCTTATTTTTAACACTGGCAGGTCGCTATATTTTTGTTTAATGACGTAAATCATGGTCTGAGCCCCTTCAAAGTATATTGGGAGCCCCGAATTCCCAAAACTTTAAGACACATTTTTACAACAGAAAACCCAAATTATGTATTCGTTTTATCAATATTAATTTTGTAGTGGGTACTTATTATTATTATTATGTTTTGCCCCATCCCCTAGATCCGCCACTGGGACAAAATAACATATACATATTTAGATAATAGGCTTTCTTTCAATATTACGCACTTGTCAGAATCGGGAGGCGGTTGCACATGCCCGAATATATAATTTGCAATTTTATAATTTGAGGGGAGGGAGGCGCAGCCCCTCCGCCCCATCATTTTTGTGTAGGCCTAAGAAATTAGGGCATGGTAGGCCCTAATCAACCCAAAACTTTAATTAATCTAACAACTTCTTAGTTTTCTCAACCAGACGATGGTTAGTCCAGTAAAGGTATAAAGGTCTAAGATCGTATATCTTCTTTCATTACTTTTCTCCTTAATTTCCAGTCTGATATGGTTTGCATGTATAGCGCCATCTCCGACATTCCAACTGTATGTCAAAGGTTGCTGGGAATTCCCAGTACCAAAAATAGATCGACAAACGAAATACATAAATGTATAAAATACTAGTTATGATCAGTGTATGCACCACTACATCGTATAGGCAAAGAGTATACATGTTTACTGATTTCATGTAACACCTAGACCGATACAAAGTGACGGAAAAAGACGTGAGTAAATTTAAATGTATATCATTTCCAACTTAAAAAGAAATCCAGTGATATTTTGCAATATTTCCGTTTTAAATTGTCGTATGTCACTTTTAAGGCCGGCCGACTCCCAGACACTTCTGAGACTTTGTTTGTACCTGGATATAAAGTCATGTTTGTCCTTAGACTGAAATACTTGGACATTGGTTTATATGTCTTTGAGGTGATTAATGGAGATCGATTGAGTTAAGACCAAGATGGGAATGACGGGTGTTTAGGAAATGATATCAGTTTGGTAAACCACGAAGAAACAGGCTGCAAAAATGAAACTAAACAAAACAGAGCTTTGAAACCAAACCATAAGATCTAGGGGCCGTTTCTCGAAACCGTCCTAAGTCTTACTTCTTAGACATCCCATTAAAACGTGTGTTATAGAATTAACACGCCTTTCTATGGAATGTCCACGAACTTAGACTTATGACGGTTTCGAGAAACTGGCCCCTAGAGTTTATTCTGTTGATCGTGAACCCGGAAGTAATGTTTGTCGCATTGGAAAACTCGTGATCACATTAATATCGTTCATAAGTATTATTTATAACTTCTCAATTTCCAGCCATCCACTATACTATATTGATTTTCCTTGTATTGTTTGTAATATTGTGATATAGAAAATAAATACCAATACCAATACCAATGTTTGTTTGTCCTGGGCAAAAATCATCGATTTTGGTATGTTGTTGTAATCATGTTAGAATAACAAAATTATTATTGCATGTTATGTATATATGAATACATATGGAAAATATTTCAGGTTAGTATGTGATTATTAATATACCTAACATTTCAGCTAATGATTCTGCCAAAACAGAGCAATATAATTTCCTCTGTACAATCATGATATTTTTGTTTAAATAGTATATTCCATTGTGCCTAGCAGGTTTAAAGTAATGCTTTTGATTCTTCATCAGCTTTAAAATTAATATAAAATGTTGCCTACTAAGTTTTTGAGTTGTTCAAAGCCTATAGACTCCATGTTAGAATAAGGTATGTATTTTTGTACGCGTTATTCTATAGGAAAAGGGCGTGAGGAAAATTATATTAAAAACCCTTTTTAATGCGATCAGATGAATCAAAGCTACACTAGCTAATGATTATGTTTTTTCCTCTTTGTTGTCTTTCTTGTATTCCGGTAGAATTCGAATCATGGCTGAAGCATTCAAGAATGTTATTGCTCAGAGTCTGGAGTGTCCTGTATGTCTGAATACCTTCACCGATCCCAAAATCCTGTCTTGTTCTCACACCTACTGCAAGGCCTGTCTGGACAAACTCTTGGAATGCCATGGTAGCGACCAGATGCTCCGATGCCCTGTCTGCAGAGCTGAAACACAGATCCCGAACCAAGAAGTCAGCAAATTACCGACAAGTCTAGCTTTGAAGTCTCTCATAGAAGACATGAATAATCAGCATAAGTTTTGTATGAATTGCAAAACAGACGACAAACCCCAAGCTGTTGTCTACTGTCAAGACTGTGGCAAGTATTTCTGTATCACTTGCCACAACGCACATTCTCTGTGGCAAGACTTCATAAGTCATGAGGTTCTAGCCATGAGTGAGATCGAATCAGGGAAGGTGTCAGTACGTAGGTATCGTAAATGCAAGAAACACCCCAAAGAGGATGAGGAGTGCTTCTGTTCCGAATGCAAGAGATTTGCGTGCTTCAGGTGTGTTGTCATGGAGCATACAAAAGAAGGACATCAGGTCTTCGAGGCAGCTGTTTATGAAAGCAGCCATATGAAGAGTATCGAGGACCTCAAATCCAAGGCGGACAATAAACGCACTTGCTTTCAGAAATACGTTGACTTCATTGATGAACAGAAGGAGCATGTGAGCAATGTCCAGAAGCAGTGTACAGATGATATCAACAAAGCATTTGAAGAATCAGTTCGGCAGTTGACAAAGAAGAAAGAAATCCTCCTTGGTGAAGTCAAGGGTAGGACCGAAGGAGTAGAGAAAGAACTGAACGAAATGAAGAAATCGGCTGAGGAGCACATCACTCACTTAACCATCATAGCTGACGTGGTAACCAATAAGACAAAGGTGCCGTCAGATATGGATGCTTTGGCTGCACACGACACTCTATGTCAAGACTTACAGAAGGCCTTGAAACAAGAAGATCCTGACTACAAGCAGCCGATGCAATCGAGCAAGAAAGGGAAAAGTGTCAGTTTTAAGAGGAACGTTGGAATGGACGAGCTAACTCTTGGCAAGATCGTGAATACAGTTGCAAAGAACATCGCTTTGCCTACTAAGGATAGCATGAATACCATGGTTGGTACACCTGACGGTAGGATGGCAGTGGGATGTATTACAGGTGGCGTGGAGATCTTCTCTGCTGATGGCCAGCTCCAGCAGACATGTCTAAAACATGTGGCGATTCGTGGAGTAGGGTTCCTCTCTGATGATCGGTGTGTTATACTTGATAGCTCAAGCATTATCACACTTTACACACCAGAGTACACAAAGCTGAATGCAATGTTTGAGACTCTGAGTAACGATGAAGGTGGATTGGCTAACCTCTCTGTGGACAGCGATGATCAGATCTATGTTGGCTACAGGAAAGCTGAGAAGATCCAGGTATTCTCACCAGCAGGGGGAAAGGCAATCAGGGAGATACCATGTGCTGGTTATGAACCTCGGCAGATTACTACTTATAATGATCACCTGATCACCAAATTTGATGATACAATTCAATTGATTGACAAACAAGGTGTTGTAAAATATAAATTAACTAAATTAGGTTATAATCTATATACTGCGGTGTCTCAATGGAATACAATCATGATAGCTGCGTTGAAACATGATGCAGGTTTGGTCAGCATTGATGAGTACACTAACGAGCTGAAGCATGTCCAGAACATCGTCATTGATTACAAGATTGAGAAGCCTGAGAGAGGGTGGTACTATCTCCAGCAGTACCGATCAGGAGAGATCGCTTTGAGCACTCCCGATAGACTCTATATATTCCCCTGAAACAAATGGATGACTCTCCCTTTCTTGCACTGTATGACAGGCCCCACGGAACGTTTTTCAAAGTAGAGCGTAGCGAGAGCGAAGCGAGCGGAGAGTAAATTGGCGTGAGGTCCAGGGGCAAAGCTCGGGGTTTTAGGCATTTAATTACCGTCAGATGAGCATATTTGGATACCTTATTCGTGACACTGGCAGATCACTATATTTTTGTTTAATGACGTAAATCATGGTCTGAAGCAATATTTCATTCAAATGAGACACTTGCTAAAGATTAGACAATTTAACGTTGACCCTTTATTTTTACGAGTACATTCTACAGGTGAAAATAAATGTATGTTTAAAATATAATACAAGCGAGTACTGTATCATCTCTTCCTCTCAAATATTTCTAAAGTTTGTGGCAGATTTGTGTTGTAGAGCAATATACCTATCGTCGCTCATTTCACGAACTTTTAGACACACTGGCCCAAAAATGTTGAATTCTCTCCCCATATCAGAGATATTCGACATTCCACTTTCTTTAAATTGTTTAAATAAACAAATACAAAATACTTCATCTGTTTTTTAAATCAATAATAATATATGCATGTTAATACGTCAACTATGTTCTGTACACTGTTTTGTTATTGTTATATCTGTTATAGGCAATTGTTGGAGCTTGTATGTATCTTTTACGGTTTTATTTGCAGTTTCCCCAATTCATTTCTATTGATTGGCTTTGTATATGTTTGGTATATTTGTAGACATGTTCCCATTTTGCGTGTATTCTATGTTTTCTATATTGAAACTTGAAACTTAAACCGACCGGAGAGGCCAACAATAACGATTTGTAGTTAAAGACATATTTTGACTATACTTAGTTACGTGTATCTACAACCACACAGGACATACAATCCTA